CGCCGGGGACCTCGCAGGAGGGGCTTTCGTGCAGCAATGGCTCCGACCGGGCTCGCTGTCCCCGCGACGGGCAGGCACCCGCTCCCTCTCGGCACACAGCTTGGCCTCTGTTTCTCACGCGAAGCCCTCCGGATCCCAAAAGCAGAAAAGCGAAGACCGGTCGGAGATCCCGCTCCCGGATTTTTTTTATTTTAAAAAAAGAGAGAGCAGACGGCTGAAGTTGGGTCTCCCTCACCTGCGATCTCTCTCCCACGCTTCCCCCGCTCTCCGATTCCCGCCCGCGGAGTGTCGCGCGTGCTTTACTCGGGATCCCTCCCCCGATTCACACGGCGATCGCCACCTAGTAAAAATCCTCCGCCGGCGCTCGGCTCGGATCCCCGCTTTAGGTCTGAGGAGGTTCCTGGAAGAAGGCGGGGACCCACTATCATCATCATCATCGCCCGCACCACCACTCCAGAGGGCTGAGTGACGGGGGAGAAAGTCGTGGAACTCAAAACTGGATCCAGCCTCGGCCAGCGGATCTCCTCGGAGCGATTCCGCGCCTCGCTCCCGGGGAGGCACCGAGCCGCTCCCCTCTCCTCTCTCGTAAGCCACGAGGAGGCACGACGCCCCGGTCCGGCAGCGCCTCTCGCGATCTTACCTGCTCCGCCGCGGGAAGGACGCCGGGAACCTACTCGCTCCGCTGAGCAGACGCGGAGGGCACCGATCGCTCCATCCAGAGCCCGTGTCCCCCCTGCCCGCCCCCGGTTCTTCCGACACAGCTTCGCCCGAGGACGTGACGGCGCGACGGTTTTTCCGCGGGGGCCGCCCGAGGAGCCCCCTCCACCCGGTGCCCCGGCCGCTGCTGTTGCGAGGGGAAGGTGAGCGCCGGGATCCGAAGCTCCGGAGACTGCGTGGGGGAAATCCGCGGGCAGATCGGGGCGAGGATGGGGGGGGGACGCTCACGCCGAGGAAGGGCACCGATAACAACTCCCTTACAGGGGCTTGGAAGAAAAGGAAGGGAAGATAACCTCCTGAGCCTGATGAAAGGTGGAAATGACTTTCGGTACAAACAAGAGATCCAGATGTGGACCACTGACTCTGAAGTACACAGAACTCTGATCTGGCTCAAACAGCACCAAGTTTGTAAAACTTTTTAGCAGATGTAACTGCAGTCCTGAAAAGTACCTTCCAGGACAAGTGTTTTAAGAGTTTCAGAAAGTACCCCGGTAAGAGCTTTGAAGATGGTATGGAGGTCTCAGAAAGGGAACCTACATCAGGCAGAGAAAAGCTTAGAAAAACTTTTCAAAGAAACCTGTTGATGCCTTCTGTATGCACAAGGGCAAGGATCGGACCGCCCCTCCCGCCCCCGCGTGACCTTCAGGGCTCCCGAGCCCCCTTCCCGAGGGTGATCCTCCGTCCCTCTTCCCTACATAGTTGAAATCCAGGGTCCGGGAAAACCAACCCCTTGACGGGGCTCCTGACGGTAGTTTTCCTGCCAAGCTCCAGTCTCGGGAAGTAGCACAGATTTCAGGGCCGTCGATGGACTGATTTAATCTCTCGGGAATCCTGCAGTGCAACTGGGTATTGGGGTGCCGGGTAGGGTTTAAGCCCACTGTCTCCAGTGGGTCCCCTTACTCGAGCTGGAAGGTATAGATTTGCACGTCAGGTCACCCACAGCAAAAGTCAAGCATCATTGTGTGAGGACATTGTGTGAGTGTCTTGTGTAGGTCTTGAGATCACATAGTTTTCGGCACCTACTAAAAGTTAGGATGCCCTTCTGCAGCATTCTGATTTCCAGCTGTGTACTTTTTGTTGGGCTGCTACCTATTTTTACAGTGAACTGAAGACCAGGTCCATGTTGGCAGAATTTGGGACTTGCCTGGGGAAGCCAGGAAGGCATGGTCTCCTCCACAGCCAACCTACCTTACCGTTCTCCTCAATCTCACAATCAGACTGCCTGTCCAGGGAGAGGGAGAGGGAGAAAAAGAGAGAATGGATTCAGAAGGAGTGGATTGGACAGCTTAGGAACAGAAGGAGGAGTACTTGAACGAGTTGCCAGTTACTCTCGTCCAGCTTTCTCTGTGCCACTTTGGAGCCCAAGACCGTATCATCTGGTCAGGAAAAGTGTCTGATCAAAGTGGATTAAGAGACTTCCGAATTGACACTGCCCAGCATCCACCTTTCCATTTGCTCAAGAGTTAATCTATAGTATAATAACAACATGTAGTAAAAACAGATCCTAATATTGCTGCAGAAGGGAGTAACAAAATTAGCAAGAATTTTAGTATAGAAGGGGGCAAACCACAGGAACAACAGTGACTAGTGGGTGCATTTAAACATGTGTGGGTCCAGCCCCAGTCCTTGTTCAGATGGTGGTTTAAGGGGGCAGAGGGAATATTAAAGGGAAGTAGAGCAGAGCAAATCAACAACCATTCACTCAACCAATCAGCTTCCTTCTCCAGATACATCTGTACATTCTCCAGGGATGGAAACAAGCTGTGAACTCAAGAAGAACCCTGATAGATCATTTATTTCATTCATTTATTAAATGTTTGCATTCCTATCACAACAACAGTCTCAAAGCCCATTACACTAGAAAGGATACAAAAATCCATAATCAATATAAGAGAGGAAGAAAAGGAAATTTAATCTGCTGTTATAATAAAAAAGAAAACGTATAGCTCTGTCTGTCTTTGCCGTAGACTGAAGACCCCGAAAACTAGGCACAAATACTAAGAGGATGCTATGGGTGTGACTCTAAACCATTTATTTAAAAATGTTTTAATTAAAATCTGCCAGGATCCTACAGTACTATGTTTAATCTGCTGGCGGCAAATGGCCTAATCTTCCCTAACAGCCAGAGATGAAGGAGAAAGATGATATGGGATATTCTTTTCTTCACAGGACCTGTGGGCAGTATTATGCAGAAAGTCTGTCTACAAGTGCCCAGGACTCTTCAAACAGTTAAAAGATAGGTGATGGAAGAGGAAGACGGAACAGGAAGACGGGAGTGGTGAGAGAGAAACATCAGAAAGAAAGAAAGAAGTGGGTGAGGGGAGGGATGAAAGAAGAGAAAAGAAGATAGCCAGAGTGGTGGAAGGGAATAAAAAAAATTGTAACCCCTGGGAAGCTGGTCCCTTCAGCTAGTTAAAAAAAACAAAAAACCACACACACACAAAACAAACATAAATACACATTGTAAAAACATAACCTAAAAGCAGCAACAGCAAACAAGGATCCTACTAGTTCAGCATCCTCTTTCACAGGCCAACCAGATACCCAGAGGAGGATGACATTCTGGCAACAGTCCTCACCAATTCTTTGTCCTCAGCCTACGGCAGTGATGGCAAACCTTTGGCACACGTGCCACAGCTGGCACACAGAGCCCTCTCTGTGGGCACACGAGCCATAAGTCACCATAAAGAATTACTTACCCATCCTCCGATCCCAGATTTTGGCACTGTACTGGTGCAGTGGTCCAGCAGAGGGGTGCAATGGCAACCATGACCAGTCTAGCTCTTGAAAACACCCAGCGAGGGTGCCAGGCAGATCTCTGGCAGCAAGATGTTCCAAAGTCGAGGGGCCACCGCCGAGAAGGCCTGGTTTCTTGTTCTTTCTTTCCGGGCCCCTCTCAGCATCAGGCCCCTCAGCCGTCTTTCCTGGCTGTAGCAAGTGACTCAAGTAGATCTAGGTGGGAGAAGGTGTTCTGCCAAGTATCGAGGTCCTTATATGCAGAATACATCATGCGAAAGGCAGGACTGGATGAATCCCAAGCCGGGGAAGAAATATCAAGAACCTCAGATATGCAGATGATGCTACTCTGATGGCAGAAAGTGAGGGTAACTTAAAGAAACGTTTAATGAGGGTGAAAGAGGGGAGCGCCAAAAATGGTCTGAAGCTCAACATCAAAAAAAAAAACTAAGATCATGGCTACTGCCCCATCATCTCCTGGCAAATAAAAGGGGAAGATATGGAGGCAGTGACAGATTTTACTTGCCTGGGCTCCATGATCACTGCAGATGGAGACAGCAGCCACAAAATTAAAAGACGCCTGTTTCTTGGGAGGAAAGCGATGACAACCCACAACAGCATCTTTAAAAGCAGAGACATCACCTTGCTGAAAAATGTCCGCATAGTCAAAGCTATGGTTTTTCCAGTAGCGATGTATGGAACTGAGAGCTGGACCATAAGGAAGGCTGACCGCCGAAGAATTGATGCTTTTGAATTGTGGTGCTGGAGGGGACTCTTGAGAGTCCTCTGGACTGCAAAGAGAACAAACCTATCCATTTTGAAGGAAATCAACCCTGAATGCTCATTGGAAGGACAGTTCCTGAAGCTGAGGCTCCAGTCCTTTGGCCATCTCATGAGAAGAGAAGACTCCCTGGAAAAGACCCTGATGTTGGGAAAATGTGAAGGCAAGAGGAGAAGGGGATGCCAGAGGACAAGATGGTTGGACAGTGTCATCGATGCTACCAACATGAATTTGAGCAAATTCCAGAAGGCAGTGGAAGACAAGTGTGCTCTGGTCCATGCGGTCACGAAGAGTCAGACACGACTTAACGACTAAACAACAACAAATCATGGCTTCTCCAGCCATTTTCTTCTACATGCCCCATCCCAACTGCCTTTTTTTTTTTTTTTTTTTTTTCCCCAGCCCTCTGAAGCCTTGGTCTCATGAGAGCTGTTCCCTCTTGGAAGGGATGAAGGGAAGACAGACCTTTCAAAAGAGCAGAATTTGCTTATGCAAAGAAGAGAACGTCCAGGTTAACCACAGCTGAAAATTCAGCAGAGGACAAAGAAAGGAAGCAAATACTTTTAAACTGAGGTATGTGGGGGTGATTTTTAACTGAACCTTCAAACAAAGCACAGAAATATTACTTATTGGAAATGGAATTTCCCCATACTTACTGGAGGAGTCTGCATTCTGTAATGCAACCATAATTTACCCAAACTCTGCCTTTATGAGGTTGTGAAGTCCCAAAGAGACCTTTCCGCAAGTCAAAGGAGAAGCAAGGTTGCAAGGTTTGCACCCCCCAGATTGTTAGGTTACCTGCAGGTCCTGCTCCCTTTATCTCTATGCTCAATGTGAAGTTCTACAAAGTTCTTCAATTTGGGTTCACCTGGCTGTTTTCTAAGCCAGCATATTGGGTTGATACAAAAAACTGAGATGGTTCTTTGTGCCTCTGCTCTAAATCAAATCAAAAGTCTGCAAGCTTCAAAATAAACAATAGACAGTTGACTGAGTCTCAGACAGCCTTCCGATCAGTGAGGTGGGGGCGGGACAGGGAGACACCATTAACTATGCCTCCCAGGATGCTGTAGCTGAATCTGCATCTTAACACACCTGGTCTTCACTGTGACAAGATAGCAGCTTCGCAACTAGAAGGTGATAAAGCATTATCAGTCCAGAGACAAATTCTTCAGTACTGTGCCAAGTTTATACAAACAACACACAAATGAAGCATAGATTGGTGTCCCAATGATCAAATGCCAAACAAAAGCAAGCTGATTATGGAAATGTGACATAATACTGTACTGTAGGAAAATCAGACATCCTTTGTTCTTTAACAAGAAACCGGGCCTTCTCGGCGGTGGCTCCTCGGCTGTGGAATGCCCTCCCAACAGAAATTCGGCTGGCACCCTCGCTGGGTGTTTTTAAAAGCCAGTTAAGAACTTGGTTATTCAAGAAGGCCTTCCCTCCAGTCAATTAAGTCTTTCTCTCTCTCTCTCTCTCTCTCTCTCTTTTTTTTCTATTCCATCTTGGTAATCCTCTCTTTAAATTAATTGTTTTAAATTGAAATTTGTAATTTTATGATTATATATATTTTTATACTGTTTTGTTTTATTTTGTAAGCTGCCCCGAGTAGACATGGTCTAGAGGGGCGGGGTAAAAATCAAATAAATAAATAAATACATAAATTTAAGGCAGTTCTGCTTCTCATGGC